ATATATATATATATATATATATATATATATATATATATATATATATATATATATATATATATATATATATAGATGTGTATTCAAATGAGGACAAGTATATTATAGAGGATTATGAGGACAGATGTATTGTGTGTCATTAGCCGGTATGTCGTGTGCATGACCGAATGTAGTCGTGTGCCACAGATTGTATGTCGCGTGCTATATTTGTTAATTTATAGAGCCTGGGTTCGAAACCTGATGTTTACATTTATTCTTGTGTGCCATTATGTATGAAGTTGTGTGCCTGGTATTAATTTGTTGTGTGCCCATTATTTGTCCTCACAGTCCTCTATATATTGTTGTCCTCATTTGAACTCAACCCTATATATATATATACATAGACGGAGCCAGAGGAGGGGCAGGGGGGTCAGCTGCCCCCCCTCACCCCACCCCACCCCTACCCTATATTGTATATAATATGTATATATAGTACATTATTCATATAAGTATTATAAAACAGATTATGTAAACAAAAGTTGTGATAGATGAGGTGGTAGCTAACGTATATGAGTTTCGGAATAGCTTGGGTTTGAGTCTTTGCATTGATAATGTCATAGTCCTCTTCACTTTTTTGATTGTTAACACAATTAAATTTTGGCATGATATATATAACTTCCATATAACTTTCTTTATATTAATAATGGAATGTGTAATTTATAATGCGTTTTATATTCGAATTGTTTTATCAAATTAATTATGTTTCATATTTTGTTATAAATATTTTTATAAAATTTTAATATGTTTTATTTTTCGCTATATCCAACAATATTTATTGTTATACTTTTTAAGTATTTCATTTTTTTTTAAACATTCTTTTTTATTTTAATTTTTTTCCCTCACTAAAAAAATTTTCTGAATCCGCCATTGAATCCATCCTTACTTCTTTGCCCCCCCTTAACATATTTTCTGGCTCCGTCCCTGTATATATATATATATATATATATATATATATATATATATATATAGCTCTCGAAAAGGATTTGCGAGTGAATTGAATTTAAATTTCATGGAAAAAAATCACCTAAAATATTGTTTCCATTTTTTTTTTTGTTTGGTGGGAAAGAAACTAGGAAATAATTTGTTGAAGTTAAATAATTAGTACAAGACTTAATTGTCCTTACATAATAAAGATATTTAATGGTAATATAGAAATTAATATTACAACTTTTTGCTGAAAGGTGTGAGAATAAAATACCGAAGAAGAGTAAGCATGGTTTTTCTATTAATAATAGGGGTCATGTCTAATAGTTTAATTTGAATCTTTATTATTTTTGTTTCGATATGCAATCTAAATATAATAGAGTAAAGTTGTAATTTAAATAGAATAGAGTAAAACGAGAAACACAAAGACAATAATAGAAAGAATAACATAGGGGAAGAGATATTTTTTAACATTTAAATTTCGCTATAACGATACAAAGATATATATATATATATATATATATATATTTATAAAGGTAAGAAACATAATCCAAAAGAGACCTATGAAATATAAAGAAAGAAGTCTAAAAGATATAGAAAATCTCTATAAATGAGGTAATTGAGTCCAAATCCATATAGAGTTCAAGTTATTGTATTTTATGACAAAAATAAAAAAGTAATAAGTTTTTTTTTGTCTAAATATAATGCATAAAAAATTCAACAAAGAAAAAAAAATACATTTTAAAATTTAATTTAAAAGTGATATTTTGCTGCATATTTAAATACAAATAATGTATTTTCTCTTAATAAAATGTATATTTTTAATATATTAAAAGTACATTATTTCATAGTATGGTCCACACAATAATGATTGTCTGGCCAGACATGGCCATGGCCGGCCTTGAGAGTAAGGATTCATTTTTTTTAAAATTTGAGTAATTCATTTTCTATTGGAATAAATTCTCCCTCAGGCCTCAACCAAACATGGGAAAATCTCCGTTTTCTCAAAATTGAAAAAAAATTCTCCCAGAAAAATATTTTATTATGAACTAAGCGGACCATTATTGTTAGCTCTTTTGTACAAATTTGGAGCGTTATGTTGTGCAACCGTGTGCACCATGCAAGGTGCACATGGAATTGGATCCATAATTTTTATACTATAGATTCATAATTTCTATACTGTAGATTCATAATTTCTAAACTGTAGATTCATAATTTCTATACTATAGATTCATAATTTCTATACTATAGATTCATAATTTCTAAATTGTATAGTTATCAAATTATTAACATATAGTTCAGTGATTTGTGAATACAGAGTTCAACAATTGGGAATATGAACATTGAAAATTATGAATATAGAGTTCAATAATTATGAATCTATAGTATAAAAATTATGGCAAAAGTGTCAAATCGCACCATGAACCAATTGCGATTCTTCATGCCGCACCCTAACCTTTCATATATGCTGTTTCGATGCACAAACCATCAAATTTGTTCGTCTAGACTTTTTAGCAGGTTTCCAGGTTACCTTGATGACATGGCAACAATTATGTGTTGATGTGGACTTATTTTTAAGATTCAACACTCATTTCAAGGTCTATGTGCTGATGTGAATTGAAGGCTATCCAACTGATCTTCAACGCTGAGCTCCTCTGTAAATCGCCCCGAAGTTTCGCCACCTTCATTATGCATCCGGCCGACCAATCTCACAACCCAGAGGTACCGCCCTAGCGTTACCAGAATGACAGAGACAACATTACATAGTACTGTTTTTATGTTACTTAAAAGTTAATTGTTCTTCATGATTTTTAGAAACTATTCTACTATTATGAGAATAGAAAACTGAACCAAACAGCCGAGAAGTCCCATAAAATACACAGGTTTAGGCCATGGCACACATAAAAGAAATGCTAACCTCAAACTTCACAAACGCTTTAATTTAACCTGGGTTTATACTCGGCAGGGCAAACAAGAAGAGAGTCTACACAAAGGTTTCCTTTCGTGTGCGTGCAATCAATCTGAGTCGTGGAAATTTTCAATTTCATCTATCTTTTTCCAAGAATCCGACACGACAAAATCTCCGGCGTGGTGGTAAACCCATTTCTCCGGTTCACTCAGGTAACACTCCGTCGTCGTCTCTTGCTGGCCGTCCGACGTCGAAAGTTGAAACCTGTTACAAATTTTCATCTGCCTTGGGTTCTTTTCCGGCTGGAGGCAGCGACGCTTGTAGTGTCCCTAGCTTCGCATTGGACGTTGACGACGATTCTTTAAGTGAAGGAGCAGCGGTAGTGACCGACGACCTACTCTTCTCCCTGCGACTGGTTTTTCTCCTGTTGTGGACTTGTGGGCGATTGAGAAACGTAGTAAGAGGAAGAGATAATGGCGATTACTAACCTTACACGACGTCGGAATCCAAAGCCGCGTAGGGGGGGAGGGGGGGTCAGATAACCCAGGATAACCACCAAGGGAGTAGCGAAGTCAACGCTAACCTTACGCATGACAAATCACGATTGAAAACGTCCAAGAACTTTTTCCAACAGAGGTGACCGTCGGACTTCCTTCGTTCATAATCTCAGATGACCACCGGTAAAAGCATTTCAAGAAACAAGTAACGCTGTCGTTCAGACACCAAATACAGGAAAAACCTTAGCGGCGACGTAAAACCCACTGGGAACGCCGAAAACCGCTGCGACCATCCAACTTTCGACGAGTCGAAAATCCCAGTTTCATCGGCAAAAGAGGTCCGCCCTCCCTCGACGTCGCCGTCAAGAGGGAACGGGAGTCCGAGATGAGACACGAAAACATATCAGCCGGAGAACAATGGAGAGAAAAAAAATATATTGAGAAAGTAAAAAAAAAATGCCATGTCATATTTTTAATACATATTTAAATAAGTCAATAAAAAAATACCTCCACATCAGCATATTATAATGGGTAACTTGATGGCAACCTGCTAAAAAGTCTAGACGAACAAAATTTGATGGTTTATGCATCGAAACAGCATATATGAAAGGTCAGGATGCGGCATGAAGAATCACAATTGGTTCATGGTGCGATTTGACACTTTTGCCAAAAATTATAGATCTATAGTATAGAAATTATGGATCCAATTCTGTGTGCACAGCATAATTTGCCTACAAATTCTATGTGCGCCGTGGTGCACGGTATATCGATCGGTGATTGTAACTTGTTTCAATATTAGATATATGTGAATATATATATATATATATATATATATATATATATATATATATATAAAGCTAGTCAAAATATGTTATGTTCATCTGCACCTCAAAATGCATGGAAGAAGGAGATGCATGAATTTAATTTGAAAGTTCATTGCTGCTATGTTGGGTGATATGCATGAACGAACAAGTTTTCAAGAATTGTATTGCCCAATGCATTCATAAAATTCTATCATACAACATTATGGCTTTGATCCCAAGGTGGGTCATCATCTACTTTAGTATAGATTCCTCTCTAGTTTTAGATGAGGGAAATTTATAATTATTATTTATTGATGTACTAGTTTATCACACAAAAAAAGATAAATTGTATTAAAAAAATTAATCATGTGTAACAAATTCAATCCAAAGGATGTTGAGGGTATAATAGCTCGCAATGAGCAATCAAATTACACAAAAGAGATAAACTGTACGTACTAAGAAAACCTTGTGTAAAAGGATTGAACGAAAAAAATGTTAATTAGCAAGAATCAAATTTGTAGTCTGCTCATACAAGAAATATGCTTCATCAATCTGCCACCTCTTTCAGATTTTTATTTTTATTTTTATTTATTTATTTTGTTTTTTTTGTGAACATAGTTTTCACTTTTCAACAACAAAAGTACATAATTCTTCCTTTTTTTTTTTTTTTTTTTTGAGAACAAACAAGATTATATTAAGTCACTAGATAGAACATTACAGAGAAACGACGGAGGGGATAACGACCACTCCGTGCGTTCAGACATAGAAACGGACTTCCTTGCAAGGAAATGGGCCGTCCGATTCGCAGAACGTTTAACGAAAGAGATACAATTATGAGCAAAAATAACTCAACAAATCTTTTACATCAGCTAAGAGAAGATCAAACGAGGAGACAAACTCATGTGAAGATAGACCTTGAACAACAAGCAGCGAATCTGTCTCAACATGCAGGAACTCCAAACTTTTTCTTTTACACCAGCTAAGGGCCTCTCTAATGGCTAAAGCTTTAGCTTCTCTTGGAGAGAATAGACCAATCCATGGCATACAAGCTGCAGCTAAGAACCCCCCATGATCATCACGTAGGACCCAACCCAGCCCCATCTTGCCAGAACCAGTATCCAGCGCCGCGTCCACATTAAGCTTCAACCATCTCGGTTTTGGTTTTTGCCACTTTGGGGAGCATGGGATCTGTCTTTGAAGATGAGAAACCTCGTCCACGGAGTATGCTTCCCAGTCCCTCAAGAAAGCTCTTGAATTTTCTACAATGGCTCTGGCAGTCGTATTCAAGTTCCTCCACACCTTATCGTTTCTCGCCCGACAAATATTCCAGCAGATTACGACAAAGAGACCGAGTTGTGCCGGCTGCAACGTGTTAAAGATGTGGGAGATCCAATCTGAGCAATTCTGGAACAAATCCTTATCTGGCATCTGGTGAAAAAGGTTCCAACACTGGGCTGCCAATCTACAATAAGCAAGGAGATGGAAGGCTGACTCGTCTGCTTCCTGGCACAGCGAGCACTGAGATGTGCAATCCTGTTATAATAATATTATTATTAATATTATTAGTAATTAAACCAAGTCAAAGGATTCATGTGTGTTAATGTGGAACATGCCTAGATTATAGGAGTAGTACATGGAGCATTAGCTTCCTATTTACTAGCTTTCTCTTAGTATAAATATGTGGTGTATTTTCATTTGTTAAATCATCCCAGTGAATAGACATTATTCATTCTAATCTCTCTCTCTCTCTCTCTTCCTATTTATATATTATTATATATAAATACATAGATATATTATATAATATATATATATATATATATATATATATATATATATATATATATATATATATATTATATTTAATATATCTTACATTTGGTATCAGAGCCAGTCAACCTTTCAACTCCGAAATATTTCCCGTAGTGAAATATGGCAACAAATTTCAATATTGTATGGTCGGGTCCCAAATTGGACGGGAAACTCGATTACAATTATTGGCAAATTATGATGTCCACACATTTGCAAGCTCAAAATCTTTGGAGCTTTGTTGATCCCGGTCTACCCGAAGGAGCTGATGCAGCCGCTATACGGCGAGATAAATTGGCCTTGGGTCAGATTCACCAAGGTGTTCATTATTCCATTTTTGGGCAATTAGCTCGTGCTCAAACAGCAAAACAAGCTTGGGACATCTTAAAGGTGTCACACAAAGGAGTTGATCGGGCGCAGAAGTCTAAGTTGCAGTCGTTGAGAAGGTTGTACGATAATTGTGAGATGACCTCTACAGAAATGGTAGATGCGTATTTCACTCGTCTTATTGATATGGTGAATAAGATGAGGTTATACGGAGATACGATTGAAGATGGTGCAGTGGTTGAAAAAGTTCATCGAACTATGCCGATGAAGTATGACCATGTGGTGGCTTCGATCACAAAGTCACACAAAACTGAGCTCTTATCAATTGCAAAGCTGAAAGGTATGGTATAAAGTCATATTGACAGGATTGCGTCAAAATCGGAACCACTAGCAGAAGAAGCTTTGAAGAGCCAAGTCACCCTTAATGTGACTGGCACTAATCAAAGAGGTGGAGGATTTGGTAGAGGTCGTGGAAGAGGAAGAGGAGGATCTAGTGGAAGAGGTCGTGGTAACTACAACCAAGGAGGAGGACGTGGTAACTCCAACCAAGGAAGAGGTGGAGGTAATACCAAACAAGGTAAATTTCCATTTCATTGCTACAATTGTGGCAAGTATGGGCACAAGATTGCAGATTGTTGGTATAATGAGGACAACAATCGTGGAAATCAAGCAAACATTGCTGAAAATACTGTTGAAAAGTCTGGTGAGAATTCTGAAACCTTACTTTTGGCCAGTGATAGTTTTTCTGCTGATAAGAACATATGGTTCTTGGATACTGGGTGTAGTAACCATATGTGTGGGAAGAAAGAATTGTTTTCTGAACTGGATGAATCAGTCCGGTCTGAAGTGACATTTGGCAATAAGTCAAAGGTGCCAATTTTGGGAAAAGGTAAAATCTCTATTCAGTTGAAGGATGGTACTCACAATTTTATATCCGATGTGTTCTATGTTCCTGAACTACATCAAAATTTGTTTAGTATGGGACAGTTGTCAGAAAAAGGATATAAGATAGATATTGCTCAGGGGTGTTGTACCATTGCATATGCTAAGAGAGTCTTGATTGCAAAGGTAAATATGTCCCAGAATCGACTATTTCCTTTGAAAATTAAGCATACTCTCCTTGCTTGCTTTAATTCTGAAGTTTGTGATGATAATTGGTTATGGCATATGCGATTTGGGCATTTTCGTTTCTCTGGATTAAACTATCTTGTGAGAAAGGAACTTGTTTCTGATTTACCTGTTGTGAATGTCCCTGATCGTATCTGTGAGATTTGTGTGATTGTGAAGAAGCATAGAGATCCCTTCCCTGTGGGCAAGTCAAGGAGAGCTACAAAACAGTTGGAGATTGTTCACTCAGACCTGTGTTCGTTGGAGGTTCCCTCACATGGAGGTTGTAAGTACTTTATTACTTTCTTTGATGATTTCAGTAGAAAAACATGGGTTTACTTTCTGAAGCAAAAGTCTGAAGCATGTGATGTTTTCAAACAATTTAAGGCTTTTGTTGAGAAGCAAAGTGGTTATGAAATTAAAATTTTGAGAACTGATAGAGGTACAAAATATATTGCCTGTGATGATTTTCTGAAGAAGAAGGGTATCCAACACCAGATGACAGCTAGATACACTCCACAACAAAACGGAGTGGCTGAGAGGAAGAATAGGTCTATCATGGATATGGTAAGGTGCATGTTGAAATCCAAGAATCTGACTAAGCCTTTTTGGGCAGAAGCTGTTGCTTGTGCTGTCTATGTGTTGAATAGGTGTCCAACTAAAAGTGTCCGTGATAAGACACCCGGAGAAGCTTGGAGTGGGAGAAAACCCTCTATCAAATATCTCAAGGTTTTTTTATGTTTGGCATATGCACATGTGCCAGATCCATTGAGAAAGAAGTTGGATGATAAAGGTGAGAAGTGCATATTCATTGGTTATAGTGACGCTTCAAAGGCTTATAAACTATACAATCCTGAAACTAAAAAGGTTGTTATAAGTCGTGATGTCACTTTTGATGAATATGGTGCCTGAGATTGGTTAGCTAAAGATGAAAGTTCAGTTGTTATTCCTGTTGTCGAAAATATTGTTGATGAGCAACCGATTCCAGATAATATCCAGTCTCCTACACAGCAGCCAGAGCCGTCAGTTCGACGATCTCAGCGCGAGCGCCACTTACCAGCTCGCTTGCAGGATTATGTGTTGGGTCATGATAATGACCTGTCTGATGAAGAGATTGTTCAATTTGCTCTCTTTGCAGATTGTGATCCTTTATCTTTTGAGGAGGCTGCTACAGAAACTCATTGGCTTAAGGCGATGGATGAGGAGATACGTGCCATTGAAAAGAATGGTACCTGGGAGTTAACAGATTTACTCCTGGAAAGAAGCCGATTGGAGTAAAGTGGGTTTACAGAACGAAGTACAAGTCAAATGGAGAAATTGACCGTTTTAAGGCACGGTTAGTAGCAAAGGGTTACAAGCAAAAACCAGGTATTGATTATTTTGAGGTTTTTGCTCCTGTAAGTAGACTTGATACGGTTCGAATGGTTATTTCTCTTGCTGCTCAAAATGATTGGAAATTGCATCAAATGGATGTCAAGTCTGCCTTTTTGAATGGTTTTCTTGAAGAAGAAATATATGTTGAGCAACCTGCGGGATTTCTGAACAAAGGAGAGGAAAATAAAGTGTACAGGTTGAGAAAAGCCTTGTATGGCTTAAAGCAAGTGCCTAGGGCGTGGTATAGTTGCATTGACTCATTTTTTGTTGAAAGTGGTTTTATGAGATGTCCTCATGAGCACACTTTGTGTGTCAAATGCACAGATTCTGGTGATATTGTTCTAATCTGTCTATATGTTGATGATCTGGTTTTTATTGGAAATAACTTGAAGTTAATCTCAGAATTCAGGGAGGCACTCATTAAGAGGTTTGAAATGACCGATATGGGACTTATGTCTTACTTTCTTGGCCTTGAGGTTGTTCAGATGGATGGTGGAATCTTTATTTCACAAAAGAAGTATGCTGCTGATATTTTGAAAAAGTTCAAAATGGAAAACTCCAAACCAGTTTCAACGCCGTTAGCTGAAAAGTTAAAGGTGTCCAAAGATGAGTGTAGTAAGAACGTGAATGTTACATCTTATAAAAGCTTAGTTGGGAGTTTGAGGTATCTGGTGGCAACAAGGCCAGATATTTCTTTTGGAGTTGGGATACTTAGCAGATTCATGGTGGAACCAAAAGAATCACATTGGGCTGCAGCAAAGCGAATTCTGAGATATGTGAAAGGTACGAGTAATGATGGAATCTTTTACTCCACTAATGAAGATGTGAGACTTGTTGGGTACACAGACAGTGATTAGGCTGGAGATGTTGAGACCAGAAAAAGCACATCAGGATATGCCTTCTATCTTGGTTCAGCCATATTTTCTTGGTCTTCAAAGAAGCAGCAGATTGTAGCACTTTCAACCGCAGAAGCAGAATATATTGCAGCAGCAAACTGTGCTACTCAAGCAGTTTGGCTGAGTAGAATTTTGGAGTTCTTACAACACGAGCAGGAAGCACCTACGACTATTTTTTGTGACAACAAGTCAGCAATTTCGTTGTCCCAAAATCCAGTCTTTCATGGTCGTAGCAAACACATTGATATCAAGTATCACAAAATCAGAGAGTTGGTTGCTGAAAAGCAAATCAACATTGAGTATTGTTCAAGTGAATGTCAAGTTGCAGATATCTTTACGAAGCCGCTGAAGACAGAGACATTTCTCAAATTGAAGAAGGAAATTGGAATGACCATACATCCAACTTGATTTAAAGGAGGCAATGTTATAATAATAATATTATTAATATTATTAGTAATTAAACCAAGTCAAAGAATTTAATAAAAACAAACATGGGTGAGTCATGTGTGTTAATGTGGAACATGCCTAGATTATAGGAGTAGTACATGGAGCATTAGCTTCCTATTTATTAGCTTTCTCTTAGTATAAATATGTGGTGTATTTTCATTTGTTAAATCATCCCAGTGAATAAACATAATTCATTCTAATCTCTCTCTCTCTTCCTATTTATATATTATTATATATAAATACATAGATATATTATATATAATATATATATATATATATATATATATATATATATATATATATATATATATATATATATTATATTTAATATATCTTACAAATCCACCTTTCTTTGACGGAGAAGATCAGTTGTAGGTAAGCACCCTGCACAGACTTGCCAAATAAACGTTTTTGCTTTGGGGGGTACATGTAAATTCCATATCTTTGACCAACTTGGAGAAGGCACGGTGG